AATTACTTTGTTTAGATTGATGTTAAGTTGGATTTGTTACTGACAATACATTTTAGCAATGCTTGTAATATAATATCTATATTATATCACCACTGGTTGTTTATGGGCTGATGCCATTTAGTTGTTTTTTTATGTAAGGTTCACATGCTGGGAGTGTGACGAATCTGTGGGATTGTTAAGTCTCGGTTTCAGCCCATACAGACTTAAACACAAGCCCAAAGTTTTCAAAATAAGATAAGGCCTGTGCATTTCTTAGAATCTACATTTTAGGTGTAGTGTGGATGCCAAATTTTGCCGATTGATATGCTTTTAAAAAATTAAGCATTTTAGAGTGGATGTAGCCTAAAAGAGATTATTCATGAGAAAGTGCTGCCCAAGTATTACCCACAGCTCAGAGAGAGCGAAGGATACTGCCTGAGTTACAGTAATAAGGAAATGTTAATTCTACTTTACAAACCAATCAATCAATCACTCGACTAATTGTCTGAGCACTAACAATGCTATGTACTGTGTAATCCTTTCACTCCGTTTTATACAATGACTTATTCTTATGCTCAAGGCTCCAGTCTATCAGATCTCACGAGCCTTGAACTCAATTTTCTCCTTCAATCTCCGTCATGATGGTCGATCCAAGTCCGAGAATATTGTTTTATGGCTGGACGGTCGCAGCACTTCAAGCTGCCCGGGGCAATAGAAATACATAAAAAGAAATGAGCCAGAGAAAGGACAAGTATATAAACTCCACAGATACCTGCTCTTTATCCCATAACACAACACAGACCTGAAGCCAGTTTGCTCTTTGTTACATTCAAAGACACAAGAATTCAAATCTCAGCTTACTACCAAAGTTTTAAATTGTTGAACATTCATGTTGGCTTGAGCTAAAATGAATATAACAGGACAGTCATTTACGTTTGTAGATCAGTTCAAGTTTAAAAACCACCACCTGACGAAAGGCAATAACATTGGTTGAGTAAAATAATTCCATGCCCCAAGCATTAGCTGTAGAGAAGTCTCTGAACTCCAGTTAAAGTGTGAAAACACTGCCTACCTACACTCGTGAGATTCCTTCGCCTCGCTTTAAGCATGAAACGCCACAGCCGTTTCATCACACGTTCTTTCATCCAGAGACCTCAACACAATATAAAATATGCAGCATAAGAAGAGCAAAAACCCTTTTCTTCACACTGTAGCTTCCTCTCGTTATCTCATCTGTAATCTACTTCCAGTCCTCCTGAGCTGATCCAGTAAAGTCGCACAGGCACCATCATCGTAAATGAGACTTTGTTCCGAAGAGAGGACTGAGAAAAAACTTGATTCGATAAAGCGTGTGACAGCTGTCGTGGTCTTCTTAAATGGTCACTGCTTGGATAAGTGCTTGGATGGTAGTTTGGCACGACGGTATTATAAATATATAAATAAAATAAAAATGCTAATACAGTTTTAAATTATAGACAAATACATTTCCTAATTGGACATGAGCATAATTTGCATCCCCTCCAAAGAGTAAAAATTCACTGAAGACAAATTGCATACCTGCTATCAGAGCACTTCTATTACTCTGCTGCATTGTAGTGGGTTGACCTATTGTTTTGGCTTTTATCCTGTTGGCTCCAAAAAACAAAAAGCCCTGTAGTTACAAATGGTTCCATTACAGTCATTGAAATAAATGGCATTACAGTGACAAACTGCCATGTGCAGGGCGTCATTACTCCACAAGCTCATTAATTTGACAAGAAGGTGGTTGATAAATGCTTGACATTAACTAGAAATAATGAATAAATAGTTGGAACAGCTACAGGTATGATGAATAATAAATATCTGTCAGAGGGCTAATGGATAAATGATTGAAATGGCTAAAACTAAACTGTAAAAAGTTGTTGTTTTAATAGTTGAAAGAAAATTCTGCAGAAAAGAGGAGCTGCAGCAATTGAAAGTCTGAGGAAAGTAATCGTTTCTTAACATTAGAGCATGTGAACATTTTCAATTTATAATTTGAATTAAATGTTCAAATATGAGTATGTCACCTTTAAAGAAATGACTTAGTATTGTATTCACTTGTTTTTTATATTTAAATATTTAAATTACATTTGTTCAGATGAACATACAGAGCATGGTGACGTTGATAAAGAGGCACAGTAACAGTTGCTCTGTCAAATGTAAACTGTACCTCTTTATGTGGTATGACTGATCATGAGGTAACAGGGTCAGCGAGGCTTTGCTACTGCAACAAATGAAGCAATAATGTTTTGAAATAAAAGATTTATAAATCCCTGAGTCCCTCTAAGCTCTGCATCAAGGTTAAAGCCCCGTCTGAACAACAAAAATGGCATTAAAATAGTCAGGGAGTCGGAGACCAGCACACACATGCCCCTGATTGTCGCTGCTGACATGTCAGAGTACCTGCTGGGAGCTGACAGCTTCTCATAGGGGCACTCTCCACTTTCCCTCCTGCACTCCTCCATCACTTTATCCCTCCCATCTTTCCTTCCCTCCACCTCGCTCTGCACGGCTCTCTCTGTAAGAGAAGCACTCATCACGCAGACAGCGGATACATCCCATTACTGCACCCATAAATACTTAGGAGTTGAAAACAATCAGGCCGGGCTTTGGCAGTAGGTAGTGTCACTATTGAGCGGGGCTGACAGTTTTATGTGCGACAGAAAGTGACAAAATGAGAAGGTAAGTGTAGGCGTAGTAATGGACGGGGCCAACAGGCCTGATTCAACAATGCACTGCGAGGGGCACACGAACCTGTCAGCACACATTTCATTACTGACACATGAATCCATCAAACAGGGAAGGGGGGGGGACTAAGTGGCACCTCGAGTACCATCAAGTGCTGTTACATAATTAGGTTCACTTGAAGACTGGAATTCTGTGGCTACTGTACATGCAGGATGAAACCATATTCTGTATATAAAGATGGATGATATGACTGCTCCCCAAAGGTAAAGCCAAAGCACCTTGTTTGCCTGTGGTAGCTGGCTACAGTATAGGTTTTAAATTCCACCTCTGCCATGTTATTGGATGGGACATGGACTCATTTCAGGTAGTCCTTATCACACCAATGTATTTTTAAGAGCTTACTATCTCTGCCAGGGAGCTTAAGTTTTTATCAGTGATGAAGCTCCAAAGGTTTTACGCCCCAAAAGAGAAGGATAATGCAAAAACATCTGAACCGTTTTTCGATGAAATTTTGCGGATGGGTGGGGCATGACCCAAAGAAGGAGCCATTAAATGGAGCTGATCTGGATAAATGGAGGGATACAGGAATTTATTCTTTACTTTCTGTAACATAGCGAGATTGGCGGTGTTATGTGCCCTCTGCTTGTCCTTCAAGTTGTTCCAGTAAGTTTGGTTTAATTAGTAATTTGATGCTATAACAATTGGGTGAAATGTTATGATATACAACAGCTGAAACTGGCTTGATATTGGTCTCGAGCTTTGTCCCTGTATCGCTACTGCATAGACTCAATCTTGCAAGATGGCGCCGTTTGTATTGAGGATATCTTGGCTTCAGTTCTGTATAGAAGTTGGAAGTGGATATGTGTCGTACATCTATAGTTGAAATCCACAGGAAGACGGTGACACATGATGCAAGTAAAGGAAAATATAATTCAATACACGTAAATTTGATGAGACACTGCACTTATTCAGACCTGTTCTCTCTTGGTGGACAAAGAATTTTAGACTAAGCCTCTCATTCATCCTCTCTCTCACACACCAGTAAAGGCTGTGCGGGACATCATGTGCACTTTGGGGTTTATTAGTTTGCTCAAACACAGTTCAACTTAATGAGGACTGAAAACCCCCAAACAATCAATGAGCAACCTGCTACACTTCCACAGGCACAGCTGTCGAAAAGGATAGACCCAGTCCCCATGATGTTTTGCGCAGCAACTTACTGTGACTTTGTGTACCTGCAGCTGCAGTATCCTATTCCCTGCTGCTGGACATTTTCACAGGATAAAAGTCTGATCTGTATAATTGGATGGTCAACAAACTTACTAAAGACAAAACAAATCTGCATTACTGAGATATCTGGGGGGGTTAGCCCAGAGATTTAGGTGTAGAAAAAAATAATTAGAACAATTATAACATCCTGTGTCCTTCCATGGACTTTTGAGTTATGTCAGTCCACCTTTCACTCTCCCCTATACTTGCCTGTCAAATCTCTGTTTAAGGCCCAAAAATACTTAGAAATATAGTTAACAATGGGGAAAAAACATACACTGTGGTCATGATAACATGTAAAAGCACAACTAATTTTCAATTATCTTATAAATACATAAACACATGCAATTACATTTATAATATGCTGTTTGCTCCATACTTATATGAACAATGTGTCAGTTGAGAAACAAATAAATAGCAAACAGACCTTCCTTATAAATAAAATCGTGATTCCCACAACTGCACTTTAGAAAGTGAATAGAGGTACAACAAAGGCAGCGGAGTAGGCTGAGCAAACACAAGGCAGAAGCTTCAGATGTGTCCCACTGATGACAGGAACGAGCCCCTCACACTGAGGATGACTGCAGGGATCGATCAGAGGCTGCCTCCCCCCTTTCTACCCCACGTTTAGATCATTAAAACCTAATTGAGGACTGGTAACAGAGGGGATACACGCACACAGTCACACATAAACAGTGGCTGTGCTTGGGTGGATACACAAGCACTGAATATTTCAAGGATAACAATAGAAAAGCACAGGCAGTGTGAAATAATGAGACCAGACGTCCGTGTGAGCAAAGATACAAACGGATCAGAAGGGACTGCACCATGAGAGGATGGACTGGTGACACTGATCACAGGTGATCACCAGGTCATCTGTGCAGGTGAAAGCTGACCACAGAGAAGTGGGTGTGAGAGAAGAAGGCATAGCAAAGGAGAGGAAAACCAAAATACCCTGAAAAAACATGTGCATGACAGAGATGTCACAGGGGATCAGATGCACCATTACGCGTGTGTGCGTAAAATAAGGGAAGTTGGCTCACCCAGGACTAGACCTTGCACACCGCTCCATCCACATCTGCAAACCTGGAGGCTCTCTGATCACTGCTGCTCTGCCTGGATCTCTGGATCTCTGCGGGATGGTTTTTTTTTTGCTCCTCCAGCCTCTTCAGCCTCTGCGCTTCCTCCTCCTCCTCCTCCTCCAGCAGCGAAACCAGCAGCAACAGCAACTGGACTGGACTGCATTCACTCACCTTCCCTCCCTTCTTCTTCCCAGTATATCTATATCTGCCTCACAAGCCCGGGTCCACGGCTCCTCTCCTCCACTCTCCTCCTTTGTGCAATGGAAGCAGCGGCAGCATTAGGTCGTCTCCAGGCGGGCTCCCAGCTCCCTGTCTCTGCCTGTGAGGAGCCAGTGGCAGCGGCAGGCAGCTCCGTCTGATGGTGCTGTCGGTGCTGGATTGTGTGTGTGTGTGTGTGTGTGTGTATGTGTGTGTGTATATGTGTGTGTGTGTGTGTGTTTCAAAAAAAGACCCGGCTGCTGCTCATTGGGGCTCATCTGCGCTCTCTCTCCCTCTCTCTCTCTCTCTCTCTCCCTCTCTCTCTCTCTCTCTCTCTCTCTCTCTCTCTCCCTCTCTCTTTTCCTCCGTCTCTCTCGTACTCTGGCTGTGTTGTGCTGCGTTCACGTCCTGTGGGAGAAAAGGAAAGACGATCTCCCTGCTTTAAAATTCCGCCTCGGTGGATACTCAAAACACTCTGCAGGGACAGTAGGGGCTGTATGGAAATCCACGTGGAGCGTGAAATAAATAAACACAGGGAACTGTGTACACAAGCAGATGAATAATTAAAAAATAAAATGTGCCATAACAACAGATTTACTATAGCAAACTCTGTTTTGTAGTTTTTCATTTGCCGAAGTTATTCGTTTATTTCTAAATATCAACGTTTATGTCAAAGTGAGGCTACTTCCCATTTCATTTCAGAATGGTGGGCTTTTTCATGTTTGACCTTTTGCATGGATGGATTTTAGCCACTTGCAGGCAGCAAAACAAGCTATATTATCACAAGACATCATTGATGTCAATGTGAATCTAATAAGCTGCTTTCAGACATGCATTAAACTCCAGAGAACATCTGGACATTCTCCAGACAGGCTGTATGTGTGAACACAGATAGAGAAGGAACCACTGGACTTTCCGCAGACTGTCTCCGACCCAATTTGCAGGCTTCACATTGATAGACCAGGGCCCAAGGCTACATTCAATGTGGTTGATGGGGTTAGGTGGATTGAATAACATTGTTTCTGACTTTGAGTTGTTGAGTTGTAAATAGTGTTGTGTATCACAGCAGCTAGGCTGTCAGGGTGAGCATGTTTAAAACCGGGAGGACAGATTCCCTCTGTTAGGGATGTATTAAGAATTATTAAAATACTGGGCCCCACTTTGTCAATAACCGCTTTAAGAATTTATTGGGAATGGCTGAAGGAAGTTGATTTCATGTGGGTTATGTTTTCACATAAAAACAATAGTGACACAGGTTCAAATTTGCTAAAATAAGGCACTTAGGCACTTAAACCATGGTCAGGTGGAGTGATTTATTGCCTTATATCATTGACTTTACTTGCAAAAGGAATTAAAAACCTCCCACACATCTCTTGTTAGGTGTCTGTAAAATGAGAGGGGTGATATAACCTGTTGCCTTAAATAAAACTCTGGGATTAGATTGAGTTGTTAAAATGTTCAAGCTTCTATAGCTTCCTTTTAGTAAATAAAAATAAATCAAGGGTTGACGTCACACAATGAGAATACTTTTGAAAGGAAAGACCCTGGGATGCTTTTAGACAGATATTACTTTTTTTGTAGTCCAGGTAAATAAGGGATATAATTTACTTTTACCTTGAACCCAACATTCCAGCATCATGTTCAATGACACAGGCCTACAGGAGGAGCCAGGGATCAAGCCACCAACACTACAAGTAAAAGCTGGGCCACTCCATCCAGCTGAGTTGCTGTGAATCTTTCTGTGCTACAGTGAGAGTGGACAGAGAGAGCTGCTGTGCCAAGCAGTTGAAGCTATAATAAAGCATCAAGCGAAGCAGTGTATTTCATTTCACGGTGAATGTGGCAAGAGCCTACTGCTCTTTAAATCGTATCATGGCTGATGCCAAAACCTGATGTTTACCAATGACGTTTTATAGCTCTGAAAAACAAGACAGATGAAACTGCACCGTACTGTCGTTGCACCAGAAAATATTATGTAATATCTTGTATTTAGGCCAGTGAAATGAAATGCCATCACAGGCTGCAACTTGTAAACATGGCAAGATATTTAAATGAACACCAACGTCTGGGAAAGCCTCGGGATCTTTCATGTTGTGACCCTGCGATGAATGAAAACATTTTTTTAGTCACTTAATGAGCAAACATGTTCCTCAAACTTAACTATTCAGGAGAGAAAAAAATACAGGCGCTAGTGATGCATTATCCATCTCAGCCTCAAAGACAGCACACACGATCACGTTCCCATATCCAATGGGTCTGAACTAAAATGATATAGACATATTCTTTTAAGCCGACTGGACACTTCTCCGTCTCCATTCATTCTTAACTACAGTGCTTCAAGTCCAGTTTTACTCTTTAATGGACTCAGATGCCGACAAAGAGGAGGAGGAGGGGTTGGATTGGCGCTCTTCCTCCAGGCATTCTCACACATCTTTTACATTTCACTGCCGCTTTTTAACAGAGCATAAATCTGAGCCCGAGGCGGTGCAGGAGTGTCACATCCAGGTGAAAATGGAGGCTGTGCCATGTTTCATTCTATCTGCAGTCTGTGTCGCTGTCCTCAAAAGACACAGTTTTTCCTGTGCTGGTTCCATCTGTGCTGCTGCCTCCGTGCATGTGTGGTCTCTGAACACCTCGGTGTCACTCTCCACATGGTAGAGTGTGAAAAATTAAAATGGGGGGATACACAAGTGAGTTGTTGTTCATGATGTGAAAACTGTCGCTTTTTGTTGCATTGTGAGCCCAAACTGCAGCACTGCAATCGCCTGTAGTTACACTGACCTTCATGAATGTCATTTTCCCCCCTCAACCATTTCCTTGAGAGGCTTATGGTGGAAGCGTTGATGTGAGGTGGAGGATACTGTGTCACTTGGCTGAGTGTGCTCTGTAGCAGCTTTATAATAATACCACATAGTAGCATTGTAATAATCATCATACCTCCCCTCCTGTGCTTCATACCTGAGGGCAGCGGTGAAATGAAGTCCATCTGGGATCCAGGAGCTTTTCTGGCTGAACATTTCTGTAAAGGTTTCTGCAGAAGTATTGGGGGGGTGGGTGTTGATAAATATGTTATACATAAAACATGAAGGCAATGTTCCTACCTACTGTGCAGGTTGAAAAGGCGGTACATCAATTCCAGGACTCTATACTCATTCGTCAATTTGAAAGTGCTGCTGCTTATACCCTCACATTTGCAGTGCCGGAGCGAGGAGCTGTTAAAGTGTGTAAACATTTTTCAGTCCTCAGACAAAAAAAAATATTGTCAAGCACCAGCAGAATTTACAGCTCGATTATATGACTGTGATTTGATGCAGGTCAGTTGTTCTTTACCTGCACCTGTCAATAAGTCTTAGTAATGTGCAAGAGCTTTGTTGTAGAAGCTCAATAATGATACAATTTTATATCCACTCACTTTCAATAAGATGTATGTATCCGCAGTCTCGATCAATTTCATTTTAAAGGATTTTAGGACTAGATTCACACACCATTACAACTGTATAAACATCCAAATTATATAATATAACACAAACTCTCTGTGTTACTGCTCCAACTACTGCCTGATTAAAGATGCAAATTAATGGAAAATCAACAGCTCGTGTGTGGATCCATCTATCCATTATCTACGCCGCTTTTACCTCTTTTACACCAAAATTAATGTCCCACCGAAAAAATGCAGCATCAGCGTCTTAACTGAAGAAAGAAGAGGCAATTGTCGCATTCATCCAGATGACGTGAGTTTATCACTTCCGATTGGAGCCGTAGTCAATAAAACCTTGTGTCTGCTGCAGAGTCATTCATTGCAGACAAAAGCTTGATGTTAGTGAGGTTTTAACCACTGGAAAAAGGGTGTTATACTTTGAAGGTCACTGGGGAGCTGAAACCAATCCCAGTTAATACTGGGTGAAAGGTGGAGCACACACTGAACAGGTTGCAAACATGTCACAGGGCCAACATACAGAGACAACCAGTCCCACCTATTTAGAGTCTGAAATTTCACCTTACCCCTACTTGACGGCCTTAAAAAATACATTATAAACTCCACAGACCTGTTTTTATTATAACATTATTGCTCTTAGCTTTTAATGGCTATAACCACAGTTCACCTTGTCTACATCCCTTAGCAAACAGTCACCACATTCTGCCAGTTGTACATTTCTAAAACCTGCCCACACACACACAAATAACAGGCTTGTGGCCTTGAGCATCTTAAAGCGATTCTATCCACTCAAAAACAAACACACAACAAAAAGCAAAGGTGCAGAATTCAGTGAATGGAAGACAAAAGAAGCATAGCAGAGGGATGTGGTGCACGGCAACTGTATGAAACATTATTCTGCCGAGTATAGAAATAGAAATAGAATTCACAGACAACATCAAGGTCAGGGAGGGCTTGGTCATCGGTTTCTAAACTTTTTGGTTTGTGACCTTAAAATGAATCAATGTCAAGTTATGACCATAATGTGTATGAGAGGTGAGAGGTTCAGAAAACTCTTCAGTACTACCATAAACAGCCAGACTAGCAGTTTTGTGAGGTTGTATTTGCTTCTGTCACGACCTTAGTTTAGTGTATTAGCTAACATTTGCAAATTACCACAAAACACTTGGATGGATACATTTAAATTTTGAACTGACAATGGCCCTAAATAGAAAATTAAGCACACACCAAATGGCAACAATTCATCCTCAACACAATATGAATGCCTGAAACTAATTTAATGGCAAAGATATCAAATATGTTGTTTTCAAGATGTTTTACTCAATGCTTTAAAAAGATTCAATCTTGTATTGGTGTAAGGGGGGAAGTCCAATCACCAACAAAGTCATCAAGGGCTCATTATACACCTTCCCTGTTTGGACTGGATCTTCAACCTTTTCAGTAAAGTACATACTGAAATAAAAGGTGTGAAATGTTCCTCAGAACAACCAACAAACCAAAAGGTAGCCTGACCAAAGGAGGTGGTCTGGCTGCAGATCAAACTGAACCATGGTTTGGATTGTTTCCACTGTGAAAACATTTTTTGCTTTTTCAGGAAGCTGAGACAGAATTAAACAATAAAGGAAGAAAAAGAAGTGCAAAACTTACTGGTGTCTTCAGACAAAGTTGCCCAGGCTCGGTGGATTGATGCAGTCTTCGCCTCAGACGATTAAAGGTTTGAATGATGAGGACATTCGTTTGCCGCATTCCAACTAGTGTGGAGTACTGCACCTGAA